AGAATAAGATAAGAACAAGCAAGATGATCTAATCTAATCTAGATAAAGCTGCTGTTGCCGAACTGGGTTGGATGAGAATCATTGAATCACTGCTGCTGCTGGCGGTGGGTCAGGTGCCTGTTGCTGCCGGTGGCGACGGTACGTCTTCCCGAGGAATGCATCCATAACAGAATGAGGTTCCACAAAAAGCTTCAGTTCTTAAAATCCCACATAAAGGAGTGGAACGGGTTGGAGTTTGGGAGAGTGGAAGAAAGGAAACATATGTTGGTAGAGTAGATAGAAGAACTGGATATGAAGGAAGAAAGGGGTCTATTTGGAGAAGAAGACAGAAAAAGGAGATGGAGCTTAAGGAAGCAAATGGAGGATTTATTGCTTAAGGAGGAAATAAGCTGGAGGCAGGAATCTAGGTGTAAATGGTTAAAGGAGGGGGATAGAAACACCGGTTTTTTCCACTCAGTGGCAAATGGTAGGAGAAAGAAGAACTTTATCTCAAAGTCGGAAGTTGAAGGAGCAATCATATCCCACCTGGTAGAAATAGCAGAAGCCTTTGTAAGTCATTTCAAATATATTTTCAAAAGACCTTTAAATGAAAGGATTTGGTTGGAGGGTTTGGATTGGCCGACTCTAAGTACAGAAAACAGAGAGTGGTTAGAAAAGAGATTTGAGTTGGAAGAGATGAAGGAAGCAGTTTTTTCAATGGATAGAACAAAAGCTCCAGGTCTAGATGGTTTCACAATGGCTTTTTAGCAGGATTGTTGGGATATTGTGGAGAAGGATCTTGGGTTAGTGTTTGAGGAGTTCCACAGAAGGGGAATAGTAACCCGGGTTTGAACTCCACATTCATTACTCTGGTTCCAAAGAAGAAAGAGGCATCACAACCAAGGGACTTTAGACCTATTAGTCTGGTGAACAGTTTGTACAAAATAATTGCAAAAGTGTTATCCCTAAGGATAAAGAAGGTTCTTCCTACCATAATTGCTCCTAACCAAGGTGCTTTTGTGAAGGGAAGATAGATTACCGATCAAATCTTGATTGAAATTGAGAGTCTGGAGAGCTTTAGGAAATCCAAGAAGGGAGTGGTTTGTAAACTGGACTTGGAGAAGGCTTATGACATGGTCGATTGGTCTTTCCTGTTGGAGGTGCTGAAAAATTTTGGATTTGGAGACAACTGGTGTAAATGGATTTGGGGCTGTGTTAGGAGTTGCCACTTCTCTATCTTGGTGAATGGAACTGTGGTGGATTTCTTCCCCGCCTTGGGAGGAATAAGACAAGGAGATCCACTATCCCCTTTTCTTTTCACTATGGTTGCTGATGTCCTTGGGAGATTGATCCATAGAGCGGATTCGAGGAATTTAATAAAAGGATGGAGAGTAGGAAGGGAGGAGGTGCCACTTACACATCTGCAGTTTGCAGATGACACAATCTTGTTTTGTGAAGGTGGGGACATCAATTGGATCCGGAACTTAAAATTGGCAATACAACTCTTTGAGCAGATGTCTAATCTCAAGGTGAACTTGGTTAAGAGTAGTATGGAAGGTGTGAATTTGAAGGAGAGGGAGCTAAGTGAATATGTAGGTGTGTTAGGTTGTGCAACCTCAGCTTGGCCTATGACTTACTTAGGCCTCCCCTTGGGGGATAACCCTAAGAAGATAAGCTTTTGAAACCCAATGGTGGAGAGATTTGGAAAAAGGCTTACTTCTTGGAGGAAAAATTATCTTTCCTTGGGGGGGAGAATCAATTTGATTAGGTCAACCCTAGCTAATTTACCTGTTTACTTCCTATTAGTGTTTAAGATCCCCACAAAGGTTTCTAACACTTTGGAAAAGCTTGAGGGATTTCTTGTGGGAGCTTGGAGTGGAAAAGCGGGACCATAGGGTGAGATGGGAGGTGGTAACTAGATGTAAAAAGCTAGGAGGTCTTGGATTGGGAATATTAGGAAAAGGAACATGGCATTGTTGGGGAAATGGTTATGGAGGTTTCCTTTGGAAAGAGACAAATTGTGGACAAAGATTGTGGCTAGCATACATGGGTTGGAAGACAATGGTTGGGAACCTGGAATCTTGGCAAGGGCTACAGCTTCCTCTCCTTGGACAACCATATACAAGTTGCTTCCAGTCTTCTCCCATTGGATCAGGTATGGTCTCAACTCTGGTAATAGAATAAAATTTTGGGAACAACATTGGGTTGGGGACTCACCTCTGATGGACCAATTTCCCTCTTTGAAAAATGAACCCATATCATCCTTCTTAAGCCCCTTAGACTCTCCTTCAGGTTTTGGGTGGAACCTAGGTCTGAGAAGGGCAGTTAGGGATACAGATTTGGGCCACATCATGTCTTTGTTAGCCATCCTTGAAGATGTTTTCTTGGATCCTAATAAGGAGGACACCAGATTTTGGGTTCCTTTCTCTTCAGGTGTTTTCTCTTGTGCTTCGTTTTTTGAGTCATTAACTCAGCATTCTGATCATATTGGGTTGTCTTTCCCAGTTAAAGAAATTTGGAGTAGGCCCATTCCTCCTCGGGTTGGTAGTTGTTGTTGGAAAACTTTCCTAGAAAGAATTAACACAAATGACCTACTTCAGAAAAAGAGACCCAACTCTTGTTTACTTCCAAAGCTTGTTCTCTTCTTTTTTTAGATGGCTGAAGAAGAGAGGGAAGGTTATGTGGAGAAGCATTAGGGCTGCAGTGTGTTGGACTCTATGTGAAGAAAGAAACTCACGGATATTTTCAGATAAGGAAAGAACCATTGAAAACTTATTATATCTAATTCTGTTAAGGGTGGCACATTGGCTAAAAACTATGGAACTGTTCTCAGATTACTCTGTGGCTGATTTGATAAGAAACTGGAAAGAGATAGCTTCCTCTGCCCTATGTAAGAGGACCTGTAGTCCTTCTTGGTCCCCTCCTCCCTTTGGGTTCATAAAACTGAATTTTGATGGTAGCTGCTTAAGGAACCCAGGGCCTTTTGGGATTGGGGGAGTGTTCAGGAATGAGGATGGGGCTATCATTGCTATGTCCTCAGGCCCAATTGGGGAAGGAGACTCTCTTAGGGCTGAGATTCTTGCAGCCCTGGAAGGTATCCAAAGAGCAAAGGAGTTGAGCATCAGATGTTTGGTCCTTGAATGTGACTTGGAGGTGGTGATTAGGTGGCTAAAGGAAGAAGACAGCGGTTTGTGGAGTTATAACAATGAGAAGAAAAAATTCAAATGGCTGAGTAGGGATATTGTGGTGCATTACAGCTGGGTGAAGAGGACTGCTAATTCATTTGCTGATGGGTTAGCCAAGCAAGGGGTGAATAGGGAATCAATTTTTTGGACTAACTTTTGACTTTCTTCCATTGTATTCTGTTGGTGGGGAGTTAAGACATTTTACCTCCCCTTTTGTACCTTAAGTTTCACATAGTTTCATATCATTAATAAAGTTTCTTGTTACTGATCAAAAAAAAAAAATTGGGCACTCTCCCTAAATTCCTCAAGTTTGTGAGGTATGATGTCTACTTTGGAAATTCTGTTCTTTTTTGGGAAGATGTTTTGGTGGGTACTCAACCCCTAAAAGATCACTTCCCCTCTCTCTATTCTATCTCCCTCTTTAAAAAAAAGCATGTTTCGGTTCCTTCCCCCGGTTTCTCATTGACTTTACATTGGGACTTTGGTTTTCGTCAAGGTTTAAGGGATGACGAATTTGCTTGTGTCTTTGAGCTTTTACTTCTTTTGGACTCTGTTTGTGTGGACCCCCCTAAACCTGATAAAAGAATTTGGAGTTTGACTTTGAGTGGATCCTTCACTTGTGCATCTTTCTTCAAGTCCCTGTGTTCTACTTCTTCATCTTGGGTGTTCCCCTATTCAAGACATTTGGTCAAGGCCTATCCCTCCTAAAATAGCTATTTTCTGTTGGGAAGCCTATTATGGTAAGACCAATGCTCTAGATAGCCTACAAAAGAAGAAACCTTATTTGTGTTTGTCCACAAACTGGTGTATTTTGTGTAAAGTGAAGAGTGAGGATTATCACCACTTATTGATATCTTGTTCCTTTGTTGCTAATATTTGTAAATATTTTTTTTTTCGTTTTTATGCTGTTTGGGTGCAAGTGAAACTCGCCCTCTGAAGTAAATCTGCTTTTTGATCCGTACTTTTGGGTGGCCAACAAAGAGAGGGAAACTTATATGAAAGTGTATCAAAGTAGTTATATTGTGGACCATTTGGGAGGAGAGGAATGTTGGAATATTCCAAAAAAAGGAAAGAAGCCTTGCTGAAACTAAAGAGTGCATATTAATAAGGACAATTTTTTGGCTGAAAACTTCAGACCTTTTTGTGAATTATTCTTTTGATGATTTTTGGAGAAGTTGGGCAGAAGTGTCTTCCACAACCTCTGAAAAGAATAGATTACAAGCATAATGGAGCCCCCGTCCGGAGGGAGTGGTAAAGCTGAACTTTGACAGGAGCTGTCAAGGTAATCTAGGGCCTTTGGGTATAGGAGGAATTTTGAGAGATAAAGATAGCAACATCCTATCCTTATTTTCAGGACTGGTGGGAGTTGGTGACTCTAGAAGGGCTGAGATACTGGCTGTGGTACAAGGAATACAGGTTACCAACCAACTTGGAGTAGAGAGTTTGATAGTTGAGTGAGACTTTAAGGTGGTAGTGGGTTGGTTGTCGGATCTGGAAACAATTTTTGGGGCTATGGGGATCTTCTCAAGAAAGTTAATTGGCTTACAACGAACATGTCAGTCAGATTTCAGTGGGTTAGCAGATCAGCAAATGCTATGGCTGATTCTTTGGCTAAACAAGGGGTGAATTGTTTTGGGCTACCTTATAATTGTAGTTCTGTTAAGAGCGTGATTATATTCTCATTTCTAAGGGGAGGTTGCCTCCTCTTAGGGTTATTGTATACTTTCTTCTCTTCTTAATAAAACTGCCATTCATTTATCAAATATATATATATATATATATATTAGAACTATAAGATGAAAAAGATCTCATGCTAACATTAGGGCATTTTTTTAGATTGTTTCAGAGATACGCAAGACAATGGAATCTTTGGGCTTTATTGAAGTTGAAACTCCAGTTTTACAGGTTTGCCAACATTTTCAATATTATGTTTGAGTTCCATAATGACTCCTTTCTTTAACTCCAGTTCAATCTAATTGATTGCTTCATCTACTTTCAGATATATATTTTTTTTCTGAAGTTTCTGATGTGCCTATATTCCATATTATAATGAAAAGATCCAAATAGGTTGTCAGAAACCTTCTTAGGAAGCTCCTCCTTTTCTTTATCATGTAAAGTATGATGCAGTGGTTTAAAAGGTGTGCCTCAGGTGCACAGGAGAGGCACATTTTAAGGTATGCCCCTCACCTAGGCCCCAAGTGCAGTACTTTCAAAAGGTGCACACCTGGTGCACCTTGTGCTTCAGCCCAGGCATGTGACTTTTCGAAATTTGCACATTTTGCTCTTTTCTGAGCCTAGCAGTTAGGCCCTGGGGGCTCTGCCCCCTAATCCCCATCCAAGCCCCTTGAGGCAAACCCAAACAAGCCCCTATTTGCTAATGTAGTTTATTCATATTTTTGTAGGGATTTAGAATTTAAGACCCTAACATGGATTTGTTTGGGCTTGCCTCAAGGGGCTTGGTACAAAGGCAACTTGTAGAATTAGGAATAAAAGATGTTTAAAATCACATTAGCTATTTGGAATAATGCAATCAGGAAAGAAATAAAGAAATTAAAGTTGACATGCTTGAATATGTTTTGTATGCTATTTTTGACTTTTTTTTTGCATTTTCACTTTGAATATGTTTTATATATTTATGTTTATTTATTTTAATTTGAGCTAATAGGCTTTTTAAAACATTTAGTTTAAAATCAAAGTTTTATTTTTTAATTATTGTTTTAAATATTTTCTTAATTTATTTTGAATTCGTTTACATTTTTTGCAACTTCTTGAATTTATTTTTAAAAATATTGTGCCTTGCTTCAAAAAGGTGCATGCCTTTACTTTGTGCTTTGCGCTTTTAAAACACTGGGATGGTGTGAACTATTATTCAAACAGTGATCAGTGATGGCATCTGGCATGTCCATGCTAGGCCTATATCCTTTTTCTCTATTGAACATTTTTCAGTGGGGATGAAAGCTTCTGAATATTTTATTTTCTTTCAAGTAAAAGGAAAATGTAGGACAATGAATACAGACATGGAAGGGGGTCATTTAGATGAGAACTGTTCAGTTCATAAGTGTGTGTAGCAAGTATACGAAACCCTTTCTGGTATGTAGCTGCTTTTTTTAGTCCTAACTCCTAACTCCACAGGATGACTTGTTTGGGAAACCTCTTCCATGGATTTGTTTAAGGTGGAGCTTTAACTTTCTCTGTGAAGTAAAACAGGATTTATATATTTGTTAATTTCACTGTCTTTGAAGATGTACATTGCATCTGGTTGTGTAAAAGTGAGATAAAAGGAAAGAGAATGAAAGGAGGATTTTGTTTAGGAGAGTTTTGCTTCCTGTTGCTCTCCACTATTTTCCTTAAACCCTTTGCCTTTGCTAGAGAAAATAGAAGAGGCCAAAGAGAAAATTCATCATCCTATTTTGTCTTAACTTTCTTTTCTCTTTTGATTTCCCTTGTGAACCAAATTAAGGAAAGTCACTTTTTATTAGATTTTCTTTTCCTTTCTTTTATTTTGTTTGCAACCAAATGCAGCAATAATGCCTTAGTTTAGCTTATTGAACTTGAATGGCTTCAACTTGTAAGTTCTGTTAGTTGGGAAGGTCAGGGAACTATGCAAATAATCAAATCACAGAGAAACTGGATTTCAGAAAATATATTAATTATTAGCAAATCCTTATGCCAACTATGTTAAGCAAGCTAATGGCATTCAGTGATCTAAAGCAAGTAGAGTGCGATTTGAATGGCTGGGATGCAGGATCAACAGGGAGAGTAACTTTGTTTGTTTATACAATATAAAGAAGGCTTACATTTCACGAGGTCTTTATATATAGAAATTGGATGATGCAGCAGGAAGATCTTCAACATATACTATATATACTGAAGATGATTTAAAACCATTCCATCACAATCAAAGCCTGGTTTTTTGAAGGGAAAACAAAGTAAAAATTGTACAAGGAGCTATAATTCAGGGAAAACTTTTTTTGGGCTGTACTGTAATTCTTGATGTCATTTTGGGGTCAACACTCTTTGTTTGAGTGGTTGACAGTGCAAGGTGTAATTTGATATCCTTAATGAAAGTCACAGTTTCCAATAAAAAAAGGAGCTATAAATCCAAGCTATTTGAAGAACTCTGAAGAGAACTAAAAGTGAAAGATTCAATTTCTTTTAGTGATAAGAAAAACTCTTTTGAACTGTTCTGATAACATCTATTTATAAGAACCTAACCTGGCACAATTAAAGCTCGAATAAGCACCAAAATACTGCTAAAAGATAGTTCCATTGCTGATCAACATCTTATATATTTTGGCTGAGGTCATGCGATCTTCAACTATTTGCATAGATAATTGAATAAGCTTTTCCATGGTACCAAAACCAAGGCAGTTTGGGATGTTCAATTTTCAATATGGAAAATGAAACTAATAATAAAATAATGGGATTGTGACTTATGGAATGTCACTCTCGATCCCATAGGTGCATACTTCGTTGATTTTTTGTGATATGCATACTTTGTTGATCATCATACACTATTTGTTCAGTAGCTGTTATTATTGTTTTCATCCTCATCATGGGATGAATAATACTTGTGGGTAATAGAAGTAGTAAGTATAGGAGCAGACTTCATCAAAGTTTAACAACTTGATTGAGTATGGAGATTTTTACAAATTGAATTGATTTGAATGGGTTGCCATTCAGACATGATTTCTTCGTATTCTGATTCTTTCTTTCTTTCTTTCATTTATTATTATTATTATTATTATTATTATTATTATTATTATAACAATGACATGGTTGTTGTTCTTATTGTTGCCTATTCTGTAATTCAATAGGGTTTTTTATATAAAAAAAATTGGATGCTAAAGGGATTTTCATTCTTGTTCGCTGCCTTTGTTTTCTTCTTCTTTTTGCTCTTAAGTTGATATAAAATGTATGGTTTCAAAGACAACAGAGGCACTTTGTTTTTAATTGTTTTCGTAAACTAGGGAGCAGCTGGTGGAGCAGAAGCTAGGCCTTTTGTTACATACCATAATTCACTTGGAAGGGATCTTTATTTGAGAATTGCGACTGAGCTACACTTAAAGAGAATGCTGGTGAGCATGAAGATCTATTATCTCTAGTTGTCTATACTGAATTCTACGCTTTTTCCATCTTATAAAGTTCATATTTGCTTTCATTTTATCTCCTTAAATTGCTAATAGATATTGATCTTTTGGTGGCAAAGTACTCTGTTGGTTATATGTAGAAATGAAATTGAAGTACTGGCATTATTTAAGCAGAACAACATATTAGGAGTGATGCTTAGCTGACTGCATGTAGAACCGCTATGATTCCAAATTGATGTGGGGTGACTATGGTCAAAGGAGAGCCTATGAAGGTATTGATCGTCTACAATGGGGTTTTAGGAAATATTAAAGTACTAAAGAATATGTAACCCCGAGGCTTTACTTCCATTTTGTTTCCACCACCTTTTCCAGGTCCCTTCAATTTCATGAGTTTCATCTCTTGTAACCTCATCTCCACCTGAATTATCTTCCTTTCCTTCCTCCCCTTTAATAATTACTTTTTTTTTTTGATTAGTTCAATAGTTACTTTTTCATCACCATTCTGCAATAGTCTTGTACAATTCCTCTTCCTTTAGTACATTCTAGAACAAGTTAAATTTGTACCTAGTCTACTCTCTTCAGCCCTTCTCTGTCACGCTCTTGAGATGCCACACCATCTTCAGCCCCTTTATTAAAGTTTGGTAACTCTCCTTCATCTCTTTCTGTCTGCATCACCCTCACCCGTACTCTCTTCTTTTTCAGACCATTTTTCTTCTCCAACCACCACTGCAACTCTCTTCAAGATCAACAATAACTAAATTCTCTTCCACGGTCTGGGTTTGGATCAGCAGGTTCCTAGCTCTCTCCTTATTAGTGGAATCACAAGACAACTCCTTCCCAATCCATTTCTTGAAAAGATCCCTTTTCTTCCCCTCCCTCTACCTTTTTGATCTCCTCCCTTCCTTCCTCTCTTTCTCTTTCCTCCCCACTTCCTTTTCTTTCCTTCATCTTCCTTCTTTTCCAACATAGCCAACACCAATCACAAACCCCAACTGAGCATTTCTTATTTCTCTTCTGTCAAAGATCATATGTACCTTAGTTGAGTGTTAACTGGTGCATATAAACTTTCCAGCCATTTCTGGTCCCTCTTGAATGTTAAGTGGTGCTTGCCGAGTTCTTTGCTCAGTTTCTTTTTGCCTGGAAGTTGGTGGGCTTAAATAGTAGGGGTTTGGTGCTATGGAATGTCATTTCTCATGTTGTGTGTTGGGTTCTGTGGAAAGAAAGGAATGGGTGAATTTTTGAAGGAAAGTTCATGCCCTTAGATGATGTGGTGGCTTGGGCTGTGGCTACTTTAAACTCTTGGTTATCTGCCAAGGAATCTTTCAAAAACATCCCATATCATCAATTTTTTTATTATAGCACCCTTTTTAATTAATTTCACAGTCTGAGTGTTGTTTGTATTTAGTTTGAGAGCCTAGTTTTTTGGGTGGCTTTTCTCAGTTCTCTGTATAGTTGCTGCTGTACATAGAGCATGCTTGACAAATACTTGCACTTTTGTCCTTCTTGGCAAAATTAATACAATACTTTACCTCTTTCTCAAAAAAGATTATATGTACCTCTGTAGAATTGTCTTCCATGCTGACCAATTGTGAGCTCCTAACATAACTTTGATTAGTTCTCTCTGCACATCCAGATCTTGAACAGTTGAACCCTATTCTTGACTGTCACCTCTCAAACACTCCCATCTTCTACCACTGCAGTTTTGTCGCCCTTTTCTTCATCGATTAAGATTTCCATCGCTTTCTTGTGCTCGACTTCCTTGTCTTTATTAACTTAAATGCTTCACCAGTGGAATAAAGACCAAGGTGTGAAGGCAACATTTGCACATTATCTGTTCTCAACAAGTATTCTTGCGCACTGTAAGTCTTCTCAGATCCTGTTCCTGATATCATACCTCTTAAAAAATGCTACAGTACTTCCCGGTTACTATGAAAATCTGTTCTTGATATCTCCGCTCTGGCACAAGATTTCTGCTACTAACTTCATCCTTCAGAATTTCCTCCGCGTCTTCTTTTCTCTTGAACAAGAACAGGAAGAGTCTTGTGCTTAATCTCCTTACCATGACAAAGCCTTTTGTTTTGCTTTGTTGTTTTTTTTTTTTGATAAATGATCAGTTCATTAATATTATCAAAAGATTAAAACTAGTACAAGCAACCCTTGGAGAGGTGTGAGTTAGAACCTCACCCATAATAAAGGTAAGAACAAACTAAATAAGGAAGCAGATTACAACTAGGCCCAGTAAAACATATCCCTATTTGTCCCTTGTTTGGCTAATAAATTAGCCATAGTATTTGCTGATCGCCTAACTCACTGTATTCTTGTATACCACTTGAATTTCTTGATTTCATCCTTATAGCACCGTATGACAGAGTCCGGATCTTGCAGCCACCCTAGAGTCTGGTCATCTTTAGTTGGAGTCAATGGGCTGGTTTGTTGTTTTTTGATGTAATGCTTGGTGATATCTCATCAGTCCATAGATGTACTCTTTTTTATTTATCTATAAATTTTCTTTTTTTATTTATTGCCACAAACATTTTTTTTTCTGATCATTGGACTGGGAGCTTTGTATGATGTGCCTTCCATGCTATGGATCTTTTATCTCTATGAAGTTTAAGTTTCCTATATGTTTAAACTTAGAGTGTAAGTTCGGGCGTATAGTAAAAAGGTTTAATTTTGTATGAACTAGCTTTAAATTTCTTAGATCCACTCCCTTATCATTGGAGTAAGCATCACCATTAATATAATTTGTAAAGCTTGGCTTTTGTTTTTTTTTTTTTTTTTAAATTTGTGTTGTGATAATTTATGGGTTACTTACAAGGGGTGACAATGTTGGTCTGTATTTAATGTTTTTTTACTCCTTGCATAGGTATTAGTATATCTTTCAGTTCTTACTGAATGCTTGGTTGTATAAGAACATTAAACTAGTTGGCTGAAAGAGATGTTAGGGTTGGCAAGGGCTTAGGTTTGTTTTTTTTGGGGAGGAGAGGAGTTTGCCAGAAGGGCTTTCAAATCATTTGAAAGGAGTAAGAAGGAAGAGAGCTTGAAAAAGAGCTTAACAGGGAGGGATGAAAAGGAATAGGATGAGGCAGGGGACGGGAAAGATGATGTGTATGACAGAGATGATTAAGCTGCTTATGGCTGAGGAAATTTTTTTTCCTCTGTATTTTGTGTTTTATGAAGCTCTATTGTTGGGATTTGTGTGGGTGCTATCTTATCACCCTGGATATTGCTTGTATTTCAGATCCTTTTTCTTTTTAATAAAATCTTCATTTTTACTCTTCAAAAAAAAAAAAACTAGTTGAGTTGTTCCTTGTATTTTCTTTCCTATTGGATCTCAAATTCTCAATCAGTAAGTGTTTTAATATAATTTAGCATCTCTATTTTCTATTGACAGGTTGGGGGCTTTGAAAAAGTTTATGAGATAGGCCGCATATTCAGAAACGAAGGCATTTCAACTCGGCATAATCCTGAGTTTACCACTATTGAGGTAGCATCTATCTTGTATTTTTGTGATTTTTTAGTTAAGAACTTATGCCTTCTGTTACCTGGTACCATTTGGAACGACAAATTGTTGAAAGCACTGGCATTTTTTATTTGCAACGAAGGGAAATATTAACTATTAATCTTAGTTTGATATTTAGATGTATGAAGCATATTCAGACTATCATAGCATGATGAACATGGCAGAGGAAATTGTTGTTCGATGTGCTCTTGCTGTTCATGGAAAGCTCACTGTTAATTACCAGGTGAATGTGCTATTACTTCTCCGTGCTCATTCAATATTTTGACTAATTTGATAATGACTGAAGTCTTTGGCTTCACACCATGTATCATTTAATATTTTGACCGGTTTTCTTTTGATTTGAGTTTCTGATTGATATCCAATTAATTTGTGCATAAAAATGATGGATGGATAACTGAAGTGGGATTTTCACTTATTTCTATAGGTGAAATTTTAAATGAACTTGTTCAATTTTATGATTTAATTGATTTGAATAACCACTTAAATCTGGATTTTTCTTACTATGATAGTTGTGGGATATAATGCACATTACTTTTTTTTTTTTGCTTCTCTCAAAAAAGAAAAAGGTTGTGTAAAGAATTCTATTACCCATTGGAACTATAGTTTTACTGCAGGGAATGGAAATATGTCTTGAACGGCCTTGGAGGAGGGAAACCATGCATAATCTTGTCAAAGAATTCACTGGTATTGACTTCAATGAGATAGGAAATGATGTTACCATTGCTAAAGAAGTTGCCATTAGAGCACTTGGATCTGACCATGACAGTAATGACAAATCTTCCATTGAAGCATGTCCATCCGTGGGACATGTCCTTAATGAGGTTTAATTTGCATTACCCTTGAAGTTTCTTTGTATCCTGAAGTTGGCTTGTTTTGATTCTTGTCTTGTTTCTATTTAGATGTGAGACTATAGGACCTTTTTATCCTTGTTGCATGTTGAAGTTGTTTATGCGAGTGTAAATGAGAAGCGTTGTTCAATAAAAGAAGGGGTGGTTCCGTATATAAAAAATAAAATGTGACCCCATAATGAATTGTTTTTGTTTTGCAGAAAGGCAAGGTATGAAATTTATTAATAAGGATATTCATAAAAAAATTATTAATAAGGATGGGAAGGAGCATACAAGGCGTATATGGGATTGTTTAATTTGAAGGGGTTTTAAGCACAGGTACAAAAGGAAGAAAATCCTCCTTTGTTAGAGAAAATCCAAAATTCTAGAAATTAGGTTTTAGTTAGAATTTTGGGTTGACAGGTGGTAGGACAAATTGCAGTAGAGAATAATAAATGATGACTGAATTTGTGGGGGATCTGAATTGAACTTGTACACAGATGAAAAATTTCCAATGAGAATGGACTAACAAAGACTGGAAATAAGGAACTGAAAGAGAGAAGGGAGGAGACTTAACTTGGATTGCTTAGGAGGCTCCTAAAGAGCAACCTGAAACTTGACTGAAAGCTGAAATAGCTCTTCAGCAATTGAGAACTAGGAAAGTCGAGAGAGGAGAGAGAAAAAAAGAAATAAAAGTAAATAGAGGTTTACATCAATTAGAAACACACAATAAAGAATCACATTATTCAAAGGAATATTTTCAATTCATTCTCTGGCCAGGTCATGGCTTACAAAACACATCTATACTATATTCTAAAAAGCAGTTGTCCACATTAGACTCCTAATACTGCTTCCAAACCCCTTTAAAATTTTATTGTTTTTTTTTTAATTTAAAAAAAAAAATTAAATATGGGGCTATATAAGCTCACGCACAACCAATTCAGTTAAGAAACTGAATGTAACATGGGCATCCTTCTAACACCAGCCCGTGCATCACACAGGTCTCTTCTAGTATGATAAAAAACATAGCTCTAGGGACCCAGATTATGAAAGTCCCATCAACAAACTTCAGCCCTAAGAAAACATAGTCATATTATACTTATCATATAAGTGAAAGTTTAAACACAAATAAGACCGAAATAATGTAACTATCAGATTGGAACCCATTTATATCAAGTAAATTACCAAAATACTTCTATAACAACTCATAAATCAGAAATAGAAAACAACCCAGAATACACCTATGCTGATTCTAGGACAATTATGATGCCCACACAAGCAAATAATCCAGCGTTAATGCAATCCAACTCGTATGGAAAAAGTAACTTTCAAGGGGGCAAAAGCATTTCAAACAGGTTAGCATGAAATGAACAACCATGAGAAAATGAGCATAGAAAACTGCCATATGGAGAAGACAATTACAACATGGATACATGTTTTCATTGTCTTATGATGGTGTGCATCATCTCATTTGATCAATAAAATTTCTTATCAACATAAAAACATGTTAAATAATTTGTGATCTGCTGCAAGTTTTAGATAATTTAGTCAATGTGGGGTCTCTGGTCACTCAATGCTACTACAAAATCAGTGTTTTTAAGGATACCTGTCTGGATGGTAGATTTAGTTTTGCCTTTTGACTATTTGCTTGCAAATGCTTTTCTCTTATGTTCTTAAATTTCTTGATATTGATCCAGGTTTTTGAGACTGTTGTAGAACCAAATCTTCTGCAACCTACATTTGTTTTAGACTATCCTATCGAGATATCTCCCCTTGCTAAACCACACCGAAGGTTATATTCTCTCTCTGAAATGTTTTGCTTGTCAATATGTTGCCTACTATCCTGAAAAATATGATTTTCACTTAAATGTTTTGAAATGGGAATATTTTTCTGTTTTTGATCAGTAATGGGAATATTTTTTGTCAAGTTATAATTTTCCCTTTATGAGGAATATGCTCACTCTTTAATGACTAATGAAATATTTCTGCTGAATTTATTGTTTCTTCTAAGATGTCCAAGATGCCCTGGGAAACTCTAAAAAGAATCAAAATATTATAATGGTGCCTGCTTACAAGTAACCCATTGTTTTTTCCCAATATCCAAACTTACACAATTTTTATTCAAACCTAGTAATTGATGCTGTGCTATTCCAGTGGCAACAAGACAATATTCCAGAGTAGTACTAGTGGAGGCAAATAATATGGTGTATTGCAAATTTGCAACACCACCACCACCAATAGCCATAACAACACTGCCACCTCCACCACCACCGCCGCCACCACCACCACCAACAATAAAATGTTATGTTTTAGAATTGATAATATGTTTTGATATTTGCCTGTATCGATTTGATGAATAAATCAGCTATATAGTTTTATTTTTATGCTAGGGGCAATTGCTTAGTACAATGGTAAAATTATTTTGGGCTGACATGTATGAAAACATGGGTTTGAGTTTGAGAGTAGCCACTTTTTGCCCCCCCCCTCCAAAAGCCAAGGGTTAGGTCCACAATCAGCATTGGAGCAATGGTCCTTTTTCCTTGGATTCCATGCTAGCATCATCTCATTCTTTTTGGGAAGAGATTCTATTACATTTCTAGAATCTAATTCAAATGCTAAACTTTTTTGGTCTATTTGGCACATTAGGCTCCTTTGGGAACAAACTGGTTTTAATTATCTTATTTTAAATCCTTTGATTTAGGTATTCAGGCTTGACTGAGAGGTTTGAACTATTTATTTGTGGCCGTGAACTTGCCAATGCATTCTCAGAACTGACTGACCCTTTGGATCAGGTATGCAGCAAGTTACTGTTTTTGATATCATTGTCTTCATCATCATCATCATTATCATTTTCATCATCATCTGCCTTTAGGACCTAAGTAGGGTGAATATGAAAAATCTTGTTCATTCCTTTCTATGGTCATATATTCTTTTAATGAATGAGCTAGCTTTTGTATATATCTAGTTGAATAACAATTAATATCTAAAATTTTTTGCAATTATTACAATAGTTACCAATATAGCAGAGGTCTGTGATTTACTTTTACTCAGCCAAGGAAAGCAATGGATTTTGATGGCTATTGTTACGCTAGACAAGTAGTCATTATTATTATGTTAATGTTAGCCAATCCAATGGTTTCCATTAGTTCAGCAAATATCAAAACATCCTTGGAGATATTTGCAGACGAGCATTTTGGTCCTTGCCATAGGTATGGCAAAGACAGCTGATTCTGGTTTATTTGGTGAAAGTCTGTCCCCCCGCGGGTTGGGGCTTTCATGCACTTGTTTTTTCTTGACAATGAATGTGCTCACTGTTGCTGATCTCAGTAATAGAGTGATATAGATCCATAATTGCTGTTCCATGTTTAAATTGTAGAGGAGCCAGTGAATCACTTTTTTTTTTTTATTTTTTCATTTCTTGCCACACCACATCCTTTTGAAAAATTTCTGCTCATCGTTCCTGATTTGTTTGTCTTGCCTCGATTCGATAAGGGTAACAGTCTCTCTTGGTTTTCAGTATCAATGTGGAGCAGGGGTACCATTGTTTGGTTTATTCTCCCTTTTGCTTTCTGTAGGGTTATATGGGAAGACCATTCTACAAATATTTGATGGTTCCAAATGACCTTTAATCTGTTTTTGTTTAGATGTTTGCTGTTTTTTTTTGGTGGATTGGAATCTCAATGAGTTAAGTAGAAGGTGATGGGGTTCAGAAAACCTGGAAGAGGCATCTGGCTCTAGCCCTATGGCAATGCTTCCAGCGGGTGATTGGCCTACAATAGGGGGGATGTCAGTCACTTTGGAAAGGGAGATGCAGTTAAATGGCAAGGTGGGCTTTGTGGCAAATGGTGGGGACCAAAACATGGAGCCTTCTACGTGGATTCTTTCCAAGTTCGTGGAGTTTGGTGCTTTCTTGGGGGTTTCTCTAAAGGGTATGGAGGAATTAACAAAGGCATTTCTCATAGAGGAGGGAAGGGTGCTTGAAGAGAAAGGAAGGAAAGGTAGAACAGAAAGGGTGTTTTTTAGACTATCTTGGGGCTTCACTGACAATGGAGGGTCAGATAAATAGGAGTGAAAAGGAGGGAAAAAGGGGTAAGGATTGAAGGGAGGGTAGGGGGAGGGAATGGACAGCACACTTAGACATTTTCTTTTTAAAAATGAAGGTATTTTCTTGGAATAAAGGCTGCAGAAGTGTGGTGGAAGGTGCACATACAAGAAAGTGGAAGGCAGACATCCTTTGTTTACAGGAAACTAAAATGGAAGTGGCTAAATTAGCACCAAGTAAAGCTGTCATCAATCCAATATGGTCTCCACCAGCTGATGGGTTCACAAAACTAAACTTTGATGGGAGTAGTGAGGGCAACCTCCCAGTCCTTCAGGTATTGGAGGAGTATTCAGGAATGAGGAAGGAAAGGTTATTGCCTCATTCTGAGTCGATTGGTGGAGATTCTCTTAGAGCTGAGATCTTGGCTGTCCTGGAAGGTGTAAAAAGCAACGTTTAAAAACTGACCCAGAGGCCGAACCATTTTTGCCTCCAGGTTGCGGGGTCACCAGTTCGACCGGCTGGGTCGAATGGTTCAGACCATGCCACGTCAATGCATATATGTATTAAGTATATATGTGTGCGTGTGTATGTTTTACCAGAAGCAAGAGATAGAAAAGTTGGTACAGGATCTCTTGGATAAGGGCTTCATCCAATTCAGCCACAACCCTTTCTCTTCACCAGTCTTGTTAGTTAAGAAAAAGGACGGAGGGTGGAGGTTTTGTGTAGATTATCAGGCCCTAAACAATATAACCTTGAAGGACTGTTACCCCATTCCAGTGATTGATGAGTTGATGGGCGAGCTCCAACAAGCTAGGGTGTTTTCCAAGCTCGATTTGCACTTTGCAGGCTGGGTATCATCAGATTAGGGTCCATTACAGTGACATCCACAAGACTGCATTTAGGACCAATGATGGCCATTACAAATTCAGGGTCATGCCGTTTGGGCTGACCAATGCTCTGTCTACATTCCAGGCTCTAATGAATGATCTATCCAGATTATACCTTTGGAAGTTTATCTTAGTTTTTTTGATGATATTTTGGTGTACAGTGTGGACTGGGAGACCCATCTGGCCCATTTGCAAATTACTCTTGGGGTTCTTAAACAAAATCAGCTTTTTGCTAAAGAAAGCAAATGCAGTTTTGGACAAACCAGGGTCCATTATTTGGGCCACATAGTGTAGGAGGGTAAGGTAATGGCGGACCCAGAGAAGGTATCATGCATGACAAATTGGCCTAGGCCCAAAACCATTAGGGAATTGCGGGGGTTTCTCGGACTGACTGGATACTACTAACGTTTTATCCAAAACTATGGCAAGATAGCTGGCACAATAACTCAGCTACTCAGAAAGGATTCCTTTGCTTGGAACCCCACGGCCCAGGAAGCTTTTGAACTTTTGAAAGAAGTGGTATCATCCCTCCCTGCACTCATGTTGCCCGACTTCAGTAAGAAATTTGTAATTGACAGTGATGCCTCTCAGGGTGGAATAGAGGCTGTCCTGATGCAGGAAGGCAGGCCCATAGCCTTTTTTAGCAAGGCATTATCTGGCCAGACTTCAGCTAAGTCAGCCTATGAACTAGAGCTCATGGCAGTGGTGTTATCAGTCCTGAAATGGAGGCCCTATTTGATGGGTTGGCAATTCACTATCCACATGGACCATCAAAGCCTGAAATACCTCATGGAGCAACGGGTCTTATCCCCTTAACAGCATAAATGGGTGTCCAAACTGCTCAGGTTTGATTATAAAACAGAATACCGAGCTGGGGCCCAAAATAGAGCAGCAGACGCACTCTCCCGGAAGGAAGAGCTCGGACCCATGCTAGTATCTCAACCCATTTTCACTCACAGCTGAGTTACAGAAAGAGGCAGATCAGAGCCCACAGTTGCAAGCAATACGAAAAAAAATGGGCAGCACAGCCTGAGTCCACCCAGGATATACAGTCCAAGGTGCCACTCTGTTCTATAAGGGCCGACTAGTTATACCTGGTGATTCAGCTCACATTCCCAAGCCACTGGACAATTTCACAGCATGGCAGAAGGGGGACACTCTGGGGTTCTTCGTACATATAAAAGACTGGCCTTTCTATTCTTCTGGAAGGGGTTGAGAGCCAAGGTGCAGGAGTTTGTAGCTAACTGCTCAATTTGTCAGCAGCAGAAGTATGACACTCAGCTTCCACCTGGACTGTTACAGCTGCTGCCTATTCCGGACCAGGTATGGAGTGATATTTCAATAGATTTCATATCTGGACTTCCAAAATCCCAGGGAGGGAAAGTGATATTGGTTGTTGTAGACAGATTTACCAAATATGGCCACTTTGTGGGCTTGCCTCACCCCTACGGTGCTGCCATGGTTGCTGAAGTTTTTACCAGGGAGGTTGCTTGGCTCCATGGTACTCCATAGCCAATTGTATCAGATAGGGTGTTTATGAGCAGATTCTGGGAGTTTTTCAGATTGCAAGGCACTAAGCTGAAGAAGTCCACTAGCTACCACCCGCAAACTGATGGGCAAACTAAAGTGGTGAACAGGTGCCTAGAGACTTATTTGAGGTGCTTCGTCGGAGACCTTCCGGAATCATTGATGAAGTGGTTGCCATGGGCTGAGTGGTGGTACAACACCACCTATAATGCAGCAGCAGGTATTACCCCTTTTAAGGCCTTGTATGGGCGAGATCCACTTCCTATTAATTCCATATGAACGAGGTTCAACATCAGTGGCCACCCTGGAAGATCACATACTGAGGAGGGATTCCATCCTCAAATAACTTAAGGCAAATCTGTTGAGGGCTCAGCAACTAATGAAGAAGGCCTATGATAACGAACACAGGGATGTGCAGTTTCAGGAGGGGGATTGGGTCTTACCTAAATTACATCCCTACTGGCAGGTATCTTTGGCTCATCGGACTTGGAGCAAGCTAGCCCCTCGATATTTTGGGCTCTTTCGGGTTGTGGAAAAGATAGGAGCTGCAGCCTACAGATTGGAGCTTCTGTCCTTGTCTAAAATCCACCCTGTGTTTCATATTTCGTTGCTCAAACGAAGTCTTAAAGAAGGAGATATACAGGAAGCCTCTCTTCCTGACTTCACTGAAGATGGGTCTCTGGTGACTGAACCCAAAGCTCATAACAGATTTCCGATGGGTTAGAAAGAATGGCAGAGTGACACTAGAAGCATTGGTGATATGGGATAATCTCCCTGTTGAAGATGCCACTTGGGAACCTTACCTGAAACTGCAAGAAGAATTTACACAGCTAGACCTTGAGGCCAAGGTCTGTCTCAACCGGGAGGGGAATGTTAGACCCAGCCCAATCCAGCCCCTCATGCCAGGCCCTCATACCGGACAGCTGGTTTTTAGCAGGAGGCCACGTCCACAGAAGTTAGTTGGCGCAGACCCAAAAGCATAACAGAAATGATTCAATTACAGTAATTATATAAGGGGAGTGCTTGTATGGGAGAGGCATGGAAAATCAGATTTGAATCTTCTCTTTTCTTTCTACTCTTTTCTCTCTGTTCTGTTCTGGAGGGTGGTTCCTCGAAAAACCCTGGTTAGGCAGTTCCTAACAGGTTGCAAGAGAGTTTTATGACCATGGGAACTCATCAAAACCAAATCATCCCGTCATGCACTCATTGGGTGGTTTGGCCTTTGATTTAAACTAATTTCTCAACATGTTAGGCTGCCTTGATTTTTCTAAATTGTCACATATATAGTATTCTTTATGCATTATAAATATTATATTTGTGTATATGGTAATATACATACAAATACACATACACAGGGGTTTGGTTGGCATGAGCCCGGCTCGCATTAGGTGTGGGCTTGATATTGGCCTGGGATGGGCTGGGCGTGCCAGGCCAGGCAATGCAGGTCTGGGTAGAAATGATCAACCCTACTTGAAGTGCTTTGGTAAGATCTACATCTGCTTGCTTTTGCTACTTTGAATTGTTTCATATGTCATGCTTTGAATTTGTTTCACATGTCATGCTTATGCATCTTGGTTTGAACTTGTAAGCTTTTTAAAACATTTAATTTCTTTGAAACTCAACATTTACTTGTTTTAATTCATTAACTCCCTAGTATATTTTACGTCCTTGCGTTAGCCTTCTTATGATATTAACTTGTTATAGATTGTCTTATTCCTATTTGATTGGTGTTTAGCTCCAGATCATCACCCACATATAGTTTTTAACTCTAGGCTTTCACCTATAGACACTGTTTCAGGACCTTGAATGGCAAAAATTGTTCATTTTTGTTTCAACTGTTCTAATGGCAGAGAGAACGCTTGGAAGAGCAAATTAGGCAGCATAATTCTAAGAGACAGCTGATCTCACAGATAGATTCTGCCGAAGAGAAAGGAAAGAAAAGTGACGATGACTCCTATGAAGTAACTCTAGATGAAGATTTCCTGACGGCCCTGGAATATGGAATGCCTCCAGCATCAGGAATGGTATGGTTAATCTATTCAACTTCTGCTTGTATAGTTGCATGTGAGGTTCATGGAAGTTATCATGAATAGCAATAATCATTTTGTTTCTTGAAATGGAAACTATAATTGGTGCCTACAACCAGGGATGGTTGCTGTGGCAGGTCCATAAAAACAACTATATCCAGAAAAGAAAAAAATAGTATATGCTTTTTCCTGTATTTTTTGAACTTAATTATGTTATACAGAAGTTGATATGATTAGCTATTTTACTACTAAGAAAGTAACTAGTTATTCTCCTGATCTGTACTTCATCTCGTACCAGATGGTGGAATATATTGCTTAGTGGATGTTGCACCGGGATGGTCCTCTGAAACGAGCTCGGATCTGCTACCCATGAGCTGTTTCCACATCTCTACCCACGAGACATTACAGCTGTGCATTGGGAATATCTCCCTTGTCATTCATGGGGAGATGTTCCCAGAGTTCACATCGGCGTCCCACAGCACATCCCAACTGTGTATTGGGAACATCTCTCAGTGACAAGTATGGGAGATGTTCCCAATGCACGCTGAGATGTGCATGTGGGTGCTGATGTGATCTCATGTTCCCAATACACGGTGGTGGTTCTCTGTGGGTAGGGATGTGGGCACAACTTGTGGGTAGCAGATCCCAAGTGCTCTGAAACATCAAAATATTATCCTAGGTCATATCCTAAGTTGCATTAGAGCACAAGCATGGCTTTTATTGGTAACTTGTTGTCCACTAACATTCTGTGCATTTTCAATTGATTTTTTTGGTAAATGGTGATTAAAGATCATATTTTTTTTTGTTAATCCATAGAACTTACTGCATCTTCCATTGATGGCAATAAAGTTGCAAATTTGTTGATTGCGGTAGATTCTTTCTTTCATAGAAAACTTGATTTACAATTGAAGAAATTTTCTCAGCTGACTATAATGAAAATAAATATTTTTCAGGGACTTGGGATTGACAGGCTAGTAATGCTTCTTACCAACTCTGCTAGCATTCGGGACGTTATTGCATTTCCTGTTCTCAAGATTCAGCAGTAGAGGTTTTTCTTTTTATTTTGCGAAGTCGGAAGAATTTTCTTTTCTTGAAATGCAGAGAACCCCTTTTATCTTTGGCATAGGTCGGTGTTGATTTCTATAAGGCCAATTCTTACTTTTGTTCTTTTTATTTTCTTGGAACATTTCGAGGATAATGTCATTTGTTATAGCAAAGAAAAGTAAGCCCTTGATGCCCATGTATATCAAGATGGTTACCATGTATAATTGTAAGTATTTTTAACTAATTTATTGTTTATTAAAGCCTTTTGCTGTGTCCCAATGCATCTGCATTTGCCAATGTCTCAATTGAGAAAATTAAACAGGAAATGTTTTCAAAACTCGGCTCTTATGAAGTCAATTGAGAAAATTAAATTCAATGCTCCAAATTCTGTACCCCAACCGAGCCCAAGTAGTTGAAACCCCAATCCTAACCCTAACACAACCTGATGATTTCAGGTCGGTTGGCCTAATTTTTTCACTTGTGCTTGTTAAAATTTCTTACGCCTAAGACTAGTTGTTGAGGTCAACTTAACTTTAGCATTGTGACATTGTCATATGTACAAGAACATGTATTCACGGATACATGATTGCACGCATGCATGCATGCATAATAGATATCATAGTTTTTGAATCACCTTTGATCTGGACGGTTGGATCATTTGGTCTGGGAACTGTTTAGGCAATTGGTCCATTTTACCCCAAACCCAGTTCCTAGTAAAAAACTGTTGAATCAGTCAATGACCTGTTGACTTGGGTGGTTGAACCGTTGATCCATTCAACGATTTTTTGTTATTTTAATTTTAATTATTTTTGGTTATTTTAATTTTTTTGTCAGAACAGGCTGTCCATTCGAATTGGATGGTTGAACTGTTGATCCAGAAACCATTGGCTAGACGGTTCCGGGTTTGGGTTATTTTTTAATGGGAGGGTAGTCCATCCCCTAAACCCAAAACCCCCTAACCTAGGTGCAGGTGGGATTCCATCCCAAATCTACACTACAATCAGCAGATCTTACCAACCAACTGGTTGGCATCTTGCATGAACTGTCAAGGGTTCATTACTTGACAAGCAAGAGATTGCAGATTTAATTTTGAAAATAGTCACCTTGTAGAAAAAGTCGCAAGGGTCTAGGACTACCGTTGGGACTAACATTGGGTAATGGCCTTTTTACTTACAAATATGAAGATATATTGGATTTGGATGGAGTCAGGTTACTCAAGGCCTCAATCCTAAACCAATCCAAAGTTAAATGAGTCTTTTTCATATTTTTGGACCCCAATCATAATCTGAAATGCAACCCAACCCAAGTTGTAGGTTTGTAGCCCCTGTCAACCATTTGGTTTGATCACACCAACCAGCACAAAAGAAAGAAAGTATTGAAATTGGGAAACGATTAAAAGAAAACTGTAAACTTGTGGTTTTATATACCTATAACAATTTTCAGCTTTGTATTGATTCTACTGAATACTGATCCCAACTGACCCAACTAGTAAAGGTCTTTGAGACGATGGGTTCAAGAACCTTGTTTGAAATATTAAATATAATTTCCATGGGAAATAAGGAGGGAGCTAAATATGAAGTTGATGAATCATGGATGATGATTTGGGGTGCCACGAACGAGTGGATTAAAATAACGGAGCTGATATTAGGCCTGTAATGACAAGCTATGTATTTTGCTGCATCTGGGCTGGGGTAATTTCCATTTAGAATTTGGAGCTTTCATTTGATAAAGGAGGCACCCAAGAGCCCAAACGTCTTTAGAACAGTGTATCTTCGGACCATCATGCATGAATGAAGGCATTGTACATAGAAGTTTAAAGTATTTTCCATTGAAGGTCATCATCATCATCATCATCATCATTATTCATGTCTTATCCCAACTACATGGGGTCGGCTATATAAATCCTGTTTGGCCAATCCATTTTATTTAAAGTCCTTTGGGGAAAAATAGCAGTTTCTTCTTCTTTTATTTTTTAGATTGTTTGTTTAGGGAATCCAACATTGTAAATCCTATATTAATATTCCACTGGGTTCAATTTCTTGAAATCCTAAAATTACCTCATTCTTTGTAGGTCCATATCTACAACGGAATCCAGTATATGCTTTACCTTGTTTCATTTCTTTGCATAGAAAATCAGTAAATAGACACTTCAAATACCATGAAAACCACAAACCAGATTATAAATTCTAATTTTTTATTATTGTCCGATACATCACATTTTGCCCCTTTAATGTATTTTTAGCTCAGTTTAGAAAGAGTATAAATACAAATATGTACATTGCAAAGCCTTCTAGTTCGTATTTCTAAACCTGTATATGCTCAATGTGTAGTGTGCCTATTTCTAAACCTTGTATTTTGTTTATAATTGTACTGTGCATATTTGTATTTGTACTCCTTCCAAAACTGAGTCCTAGACTGTGTTTGGTTGCAATACAAATAAATTTGCATTGGTTCAACATTATGGTAGTGCAAATGATTTATGTGTACATTCTGATTTATTTTTGTTTCAAAATTTACCTTATTTTCTTTGGTTGCAGTATAAATAAAGTAAAATAAGACCTAAAACAGAATGAAGTAAAACCCAACACAAAATTAAACCAGAATTTGCATTTTTTTCATTTGCACTCCCATGCATTTATACTAGTACAAATGAGATTGCACTGCAACCAAACACAGCCTTAAGAGAAAAATGGGCGAACAATAAAGAGAAATATATCATAGTAAGATGAAAAAGATATGAAAAGCAGAGAAATCCTCGACCCGTTTTTATCGTTTGGCTAAAAAAGTAATCATGGCGACTAGCCAGAACGAAGGGCCTATTCGTGTTAAGTGGGCACCCTACAGGGTATACACACACTTCAGTAGTTGAGAGTAAAACCCTAGGAAATATTTAAGCAAGCAACCCTCTATTTATTATAATGGTTGTTAATGAAGGAAATCAAATTACATATGGAGCTCGTTTAACATGAAAATTTCTTGGAGGAAAAAGGGAGAAGAGGAGAGAGAGAGAGAGAGAGAGAAAGAGAATAAACCAAATACTATACAAGGAGAGAAAAAGAGAAATAACCAAATCCAAAAGCATCATGAGTGAAATTTGCTGCACACAAGCTGCAAACAAAAAATAGAGAGAAGAGACGGGGCCTATGTACATGTATATGCATATGTATATGTATATCTTGGTTATGAGATGTCAATGCATATTGTGAAAGCCATGCCTTGAAAAGGCCATTTCTCTATTATGATGCCATTTACAGGAAACAAGGCATAGGTGTACACATTTCACCTTGAGTGTTGCATGAATGCATGAAGGCAGACACACTTCTTTTAAGCAATACAGGGCGATGTTCTTGCCCTCGACTTCTGCACACATGAACATAACCAGCATAGAGATCAGGAGAACTACAGCGACTCTGTTGTTGTTGACCATCTTCTCTTTTCTTTCTTTTTCTCTCTTCTTTCTATCTCAAACTCTCAATTATGTCTACGAAACCTTTTTCTTGAAACTTTAGAAAGAACAAGAAAAAGGCTTGTCGACCTAATTTGAGGAAACCAGGTTTTATAAGCTGGTGTAGAGAAGAAGTGGAGAAAGCAGGGAAACGGTCAACTAACAGATCACCCTCCCTCAAATAACGATGGACCTTCGATATTTGAGGGTCATTTGACCGTTTCCCTTCACCACTTCTTCTCTATACCAGCTTATAAAACCTGGTTTCCCAACTATGTCGGCAAACCTTTTTCTTGTTCTTTCTAAGTTTCAAGAAAAAGGTTTTACAGACATAATTGATCAGAGTTTATTGAGATAGAGAGAAAGAGAGAGAAGAGATAGAAAAGAGAAAGATGGTCTACAAGAGAGCGGCTGTGTTACTCCTGATCTCTATGATGGTTATGTTCATCATGTGTACGAAGGTCGAGGCTAAGGACGTAAATTGCAAGCAAGAGGTGTGCTTGCCTTCATGTGCTCATGCGAGTCACGAGGTGAAATGTCTAAAATTATGCCTTAGTTACTGCCAGTGGCATAGAAAGAGATTTTCGAAGCTTTCGAGCAAAGAGAAAGAGATTCATGGATTGGAATCATAACTAGGATGTACAAACCCGGCCCTCTCTTCTCTCTATATTTCTTGGGAGCTTGTTCCAACTTTATCATCCTCTTGTATTTATTTGCTTATATTCTTTTTCTCTGGTTTTGATTTTTGACTTTGCTCTGAACTTTTTGTTTCTCTTTTGTTTTCTATGAAACCAAAAGTAAGATTTTTTTTGTTTTTTTTTTCAAGGTAACCAAACACTAAGACATACTTCATGAAAAAAAAGATGTAAGTTGGATGGATGATAACTTCATAATAAAAATAAAATTATGCTTTTAATTAACGGGTTCGACTATGATATAGAAAATATATGATATCTGAAAACTTCTGATTAGTCAACTGGAATCATAAACATGGTAGCCAATCAGGTGTTATTTATCATAAAGGGGGCATTTTTTTTTTTCGGATTTTGAGAGGGGGGAAAGTTGGTCAATGGGATTTTGGTTCCCATTGACCAAGAATCCCATATTCTTTTTTTAGATTTATGTGGTGATCAGGGAAAATTTATTTTCCTGGGTACTCCTAGGTGGGTAAATAACTTTCCCACATAGAGGAAAAGTTGCCAACACTTGAATGGGACACAAATGCCCTTTTTAATAATGGATTTTTATGGCTAAAATGGTCATTGCCTTATTTACATGAGAAATAAAACATATGTAAATGTACTTACCTGGGTAAGCGTTTCCCAGGAAAAACTTACCCAAGTAACTGCATCTACCTGGGTAAGTAACTTACCGAAAATCGAACGGGGCCAAAAGGTAACAAGGGATATGCAGTGGTCATTTTAAGATGAATCTGACTATGATACCAATCATGCCTAAAAAACTGACAACCAATCAACCAAGGAAAAATCTAATGCTGCCGGAAAGATATGACACCGGAAGGGTTTTGATCATCAACCAACCCCCTTTTAATTTGATAAACAACCACCTAATTGTTTGTCACTTTTTTCTGGTATCATGTCTTTCCGGTATCCAATTCATCAACCGGTATCATTCAATTGATAACCAATCAACTGGAATTCATTCAAATTCATATGGGTTTCTCAGAGTTAAAGTTTTCTTTCCAGTATCACGGGCATTGCGAAGTTGTAATAAGAAGAGACCTGTGATTCATGGGTTGGTATTAAAGATGCCCACGCTAATGGGGGAAGGAATGCATTCAGTTTTCTAATAGAAATGAAACAGAATT